AGATTTTAAAACAAGATTTTTTTTTAAATATAAATATTCTAACTTTCGGGACAATAATGTCTGAAAAGAGTACAGTACATGTTTAAGCCAGAATGATTTGACATTTAAATATGACTTCCCTATGACTTAACATATGAGTGTATTTGTTTTGTGCTGAAAGCATTAAAGACCAGTACTGTACCTCCTTGAATTGGTGACATATTTTTGCAGAAACTCCACAGAGTCAACAAATAAATTGAACTGTCTACAGTACTATGTAATAGTCTCGGAAATAGCTTGTAAAAAAAAGAGAGAGATTTTATGAGAAAATGGCAGACAAAAGGTCCAGAAGAAGTACCAAATGTCCAGGTCTGGAATCCAACAGCAGCAGGAAATCCTTCCCACAAAGTAAATACAAACTAAAACAGTAGCCTTCCTATGTGTACACCTGCATGTGCACTCTTAGACATAAAACCACTTTGGCAGACTTTTGTTTTCTGGTGCACATTTTGAAAACTGCACATAGGAAAATAAATTGGAATAACTATAAAGTTGAAGGCTAAATGCGACCCTGGAAAAAAAAAAAAAAAAAAAAACTCCTTACAGACTTACGAATTATTTCCAAGAAACAAGCCTTAGAGTCTTTTCCCACCTGGAAAGTTGTTTGGTTCTACACCAGAAGTGGACTTAATTTTTTTAATTTGCTTAAGTTTGCTTTAACGTTGTAATATCTACAACAGAACTATACTGTAAACAAAGCAATGCATGTGATGATTGTTGCTCCCATTGGGCATGATTAGCACAAGGCAGAACCCAGCCCTGGAAATAAAGGAAAACTGTATGGGAGTCTTGTATGCAGCAGCTCTGTTCTGCATATTTGTGTTGTTATTACAGCTGAAAAATCATTGTAAGTGTTGAAAGCAGCTGATTCAATACATGTTTCAAAATGGTTTATTTTTAATTTTGGAGCAGCATCTGAGAAGGTGTCCTGCAAGCCAATGGAGAACCCATGGTGTTAGAGCAACAGCGTTGCAAAGCAACAGACTCCTGATCAGGTATGACTTCAGTACTTTGTTCCCTGCTACAGTGGCTTGTTAGGTCAAAAGAAATGTCAGCTTTCTGTTGTCCGGTCAGTTTAATGGCCCGACTGTTTCTATTCAAACTAGAAGTGGACCCTACCATGGTCAATTTGGAAGCAGAGCAGAACAACTTCAAAAAGGAAGTCTTGGTCCAATTGCTTGGTCTGAACCAGTAATCATTTCAATGTGTTTAAATTGGCACAAAGGAGAATTAAATTCTGATCAATTTTAATCTGACCTAACATACTTTTAATGTCAATATCAAAATCCAATGCCGTAAATATCGTTAAGCAGGGACAGCAGTTGCTTAAGAGTCCACGACCTCTTAGAGGCCCCATCACTGACACCTTGTTGTATTTTATTTTTTTTTTATAACCAAACCGCTTTTAATAAAGGTTTTGCATAATTATCAAGTTGTCAAAACCCATGATGCTCTGCTGGTAAAAGCTAATCTGTTGGGCTATGATCCATGATGGACATTAGTTCTCAGTATTAGATTGGCAAAAATTAGGAGGGCCCTAATCTGCATTTAATGCTAGAAGATTATTTTATTCATCCAATTCAAAAATGTATTTTAATATATAGTCGAAGATCTGACAAATTTAACAGATAATATTTCTTATCCTCCGTCGTTATTGGAAAACAGACTAAAACTACAATGATCATGTAAATGTGGTGGTAAGACTTGCATTAAACTGTTTCCAATGCATTTATGACCATAAAGCCAGGCAATGATCTCTGTGGGTTTTAAATCTTGAAGGAAACTACATCAGATCAGGTAAATCAACCTGAAATCAGATTATTGACTGCCCATTCTGACACTTACTGCAGTACATAAAGGCAACATTAGCAGCCATAAAGTCCGACTGCAGCAGTGCTTTATGATTGTAGGTGCCTCTCTGAGCCAGGCAGCGCCGAGGGACTGATTCACTTGACACTCGTGGGTGACATATTTAGACTGGAAATGCTGAAGAGACTGGACAGTAAAGCTAGCAGGGCAGAGGATGACCCAGACAGCGGAAGGACTAGAAAGGAACACGTCAGACACACCGGCTAACCTCCTCCCATTAAACCGCCCATGATTTCAGACCAAAGGGCAAGGGACAATGGACTTCACTACACTAATTACACACCCTAACACAGATAACATGAAGTGTGCGTCTTTATGAGGACAGGCAGGTGTTTTGATCCAGCCCTAACAAATCGAGGTTCAATCATATATTAAAAGGTCCTGAAAGACAGTGTAGTCTGTACTTGATTATAGAAACATTTCATTTAGCTTGTAGGATGATTTAAAGGAAAAGTCCGGTCAGCAAGGAATACTCAATGGATCATTATTTTTACCTAAAACTAATACATTTGTGGTGATGTAATGCATTTTGCATTAATCAGTAAAAAAAATCAAGTAATAATCGCGATCACTGAGTCCGGAAGCGGCCATTTTTTTCCAAATATAGTAACCCCTCCCTCCTGCAATCTTCCGTCAATGCGGTAAGCCTAGCGCCATTCTCCCCGCTTTA